CTATTAATGATGTATAATTCATATTCTGCTCAGAGTGCTTATAGTTATAATCTGAACTGGTGTCACCGTGTGGTCCAAGGTAGTTTTCCCATGGTGTTTTTCTTGGGCTTACGTGTCCCTTGAAGTCTCCCGTTATGATTACTTCCTCCTCATCAGGTACAATGACTATGGTGTCTGCCATCTTCTGAAAAAAGTTGTTCTTTATTTTCTCTTGAGTATGTGTCGTTACAAGGGCCGTAAACGTTGATGATAGATTTCTTTTTTTGAGCTTTCTGTATTCCTATTTTCAAGATCCGTTCTGATATTAATTCTTTCTCTATAACTCTTTCTGCCATATCAGATTGTATTATGAATCCCACACCATGGATAGCTCTCTCTCTCTCTCCCCCTCTCTCTCTCTCTCTCTCTCTCTCTCTCTCTCTCTCTCTCTCTCTCTCTCCCTCTCTCTCTCTCTCTTTCTTTCTCTCTTTCTCTCTCTCTCTCTCTCTCTCTCTCTCTCTCTCTCTCTCTCTCTCTCTCTCTCTCATATCTACTCCACTCCATATTAGTATGTAATTTCCAAGTATTTTCTTGGCCCCACTTCCTTGTAAACAGCAGTCGGACAGTCCAAGTATTGGTATACTCCACCTTTTCATGAAAGTAAAGAGTTCTGGTCCCTTGTCTTTGAGGCCACAGCTGATGTTAAGAGCACATAATCATTTTTCGTAATCTTTGAATTATTCCAAGTCGTTCTCCATCTGTATCAGTTCGTTTCTTTCTTTCATTGCTTTTATTTAGAAATAAATAATCCGCTGCCGATTTGCTTGGCCTGTCACAGTTTCTAATGGGCTTCGGGGGACTAATAATAATAATAATAATAATAATAATAATAATAATACCACTAATAATAATGATTATAATAACAATGATGATAATGATTATGATAATGATAATAGCTGTGTTAATAATGTAATAAAATATGCATGAATGTATCGTAACAACTTACTTGTAGTTTTTGTTGAGGTTGGATGTCCCACTGACGCTCACTGTAGCTGTCGTGTCTGATATAGCAGCATCGTCTAGATACCATTTGTAGCTGACACCCGAGGTGTAGGCAGTTTTGCAGGTGAGAACGATAGTCTGACCCACAAGCACTTCCCCGCTGTACTTCCCATCCTCCGAGACCACTGTAGGCTTCTCAACGGGTAGGCTTGTGCTTCCTGAAGAACCAGATAAACATGTCGTGTCGATGTATGGTGGAATCAGCAGGCGTTTGTCAAATTGTGTGGACATGATGAAAATAGTATTACGTGTAGTCACGCTGTGTAGTCACGTGTTAATTAAATTATGGACATGATATTATTACGTGTAGCATGGCGGTGGAATCAGGCGGTCGTCCAATTTTGGACATATTATTGACCGAGCCAAATGGGAAATTCGTGTAAAGAGTCTTTCTCACGGACGCAACGTCGGACCGAGCTGAGGCTCGAACCGCCAAACCCGTAATCTAGCGATTACAGGTCCGGTAGCCTAACCAAGAGGCTACCGACGCCACGCAATTTTGTTTAGGACATGGTAAAATCAGGCTTTTTTCAAATTTTGAACAGATTATAATGTATCGCGACGCGGTGACATCAAGCGTTTGTTCAAATTTTGGACTTATTATCGTGTGTCGCAACGTTGTGGAATCAGAAGTTTGTCAATTTTGGACATTTTATTATGAGTAGTTTTAGACGTTTATACAACTTTGGACACATAATTATGTATCAAGGCATCTTGAAATTGGACGTTTGTCAATTTTCGCACATGTTGCTAGGTGTAGCAACGAGGAGGAATAAGGCGTTTTGTAAATTTTGGACACATTATTATATGTAGCGACATGTTGGAATAAAGCTTATGTCAAGCTTTGAAAATAATATTTGTAAGATGCGGTGGATGGAATCAGGCGTTCGTCAATTTTTGGACCTATAGAGTTATTGGTACCATCTTAAAGCTCGTTTAATATTTAACTTGCTTTCGTAATTTTTTTAAAAAGCCGACTTGGTCTGGTTCGGAAAATACAAAAGCGGAAAGGAACGACTGCAAAGTGACTTTGTTTGCTTGATTAGCTTTGGGTTTGTTCTTGTTTTGTTTGTTTTTTGGGGGGGGGGGTTTGGGGGGTGTGGGATTTTTATTTTTTTTAAAGCCCCATCGTGAATTTCTTGACACTACAACGAACCTTTTTCGAAGGAGCCCAATGGTAGGTTCGTGCAATAATAAAGAGAGAACGTATTAAAGACTTTGGGAGACAGATATGAGGTTTCAAAGTTTAAAACTAAGACATCGCAAAATGTCAAAAAATTATAATTGTATTTACCCTCTGTTGTCTCTTCATTGTATTCACAAGAATCATAATATTATGATAAAACATTATAAGCGCATAGAACTTGCTTGTAAGAAGGGATATGCGCTATTAGAATGAAATATGATTAATATTATTATTATTATTGTAATTATTATTGTTATTACTACTATTATTATA